AAGAGCAGTCACCACTAGCACATGGGGACCCGTTTGGGTACCTCGCCCGACGCGGCGCATTAATGGTCACGTCGAATTTATCAAGCAGGGCGAGGTACTGCTGGTTTAACACTGGGCATGCCCATGCAAAGAAAGCTTCCCACCAGAATCTTTTTCAATCTGTTGGGGGTGTGGTCAACCCCAAAGGAGGGTGGGGTCGGCCTTAGGCCCACTGGAAAGAAGATTTTTAGTATTTTACTTGCTGTTGTGCAATTATCTCATTGGGTGGAGCCCTCCTTCAATCACGGAGTATATGGAGGGTGTCGGGATCAGTGCTGACAGAAATCAAGTTTATTCCAGAAAATGTGGCGGTTACTTTGTTCGCTGTTGTTGCAACCACCACCATCAGATCATTTGTGATCTGATGGCTGGGAAGCACTCTGCCGTGATTTCCGGTGGGAGGTCTCTGTTTCCTTTTTTTTTTTTTTTTTGCCTTTCTCCTGTTTTCTTAGCCCATAAATTCGTAATAAAGCTGTCAGCCCGCTGCCACTCAGTGTCACAGTGGATCGGCCACACTCCTATCCGACTGCTAATGGGACCTCGCCCCAGGGGTCCCCTGTATAGGCTTAGGAGTAGTGGTAGGCAGATAATGAAAGGTGAAATTGACGAGGAAAAAAAGAAAAAAAACTTAAAAAACAAGGTAACGAAACAAGATAGTGGTAGGCAGATAATGAAAGGTGAAATTGACGAGGAAAAAAAAAAAAAACCTTAAAAAACAAGGTACGAAACAAGAAGGGAGTGAAATGAAAGAGAGGGGGGGGGGGAAAAGGAAAAAAAAGAATTCTTTGGCGCAAAAAAAAAAACTAGCAGTTTAAGCCTTTCAAAAAAAATAAAAAAAATCAGTTATGGGTCTTACGGCAAAAGACTGAGTTGATGGTGTACCTCAGGGGTAGCCCCAGCTGCTCGAACAGTTGAAATTGCCAGCGCAATCTCTGCCGCACTTAGAGGCTCCAGAGGATGCACAAAAGGGCGCGGAAGGGGTATAATTTGCCCTGCATTTTGCACATTTGAACAACAGTAACCCCAGAAATTATGAAAGTGCCGCCAC